TTCTGCTTGCTCAGTTCCCGTTTCTCACTGGCCACCGTCCAGGGAAAGATCCCAGCAAAGGAGAAGCGACTCAGTTTCCCTTTCCAAGAGAGCCTGTGAATGTGCACACTTCGGGCGGTTGCTGTGTACTGCAGCTCCCATTAGCCACTGCTCACGTAGCCATGGGCAATGGGGATGATGGGACCTGCCGCTCAGCAACAAGAGCCCCCTGACTGCCACCTCTCCCTTTAGAAAGGACCTGCTGGAACAGGTCTTGGAGTGGAACCTTCCCTGTCAATCAGCCGCACAATCATCCTCGCAGAAGGGCAGAGCTTCTCATTCCCCCTCCTGACTCCCATCCTTGAAACTGTTGTCTTCTTGTTGTCTGATCCAGATTCCTCAAAGCTCCACTTTCTGAGCCACTGACCATGCTGGTATGAATGGAGTGGCTTCCCAGCCCCACCCCCAAATCTCCTCCTCACCGTCATTGGGCATCGTCAAGATGGGGATCTGCGTAATGGAGCCGTTACTGTAAGTTACCTGTTGGCTGTGTAAAATAGGTAGGCTGCCTCTGAAGGGTGGATACAAGGACTTGTTTTGGGAAAGGAGGTGGTTATGCTGAATCCAGAATTTTACAAAACAGAACAATGTTTTGGCTATACATAGGACTACAAAGAAAACCAGCTTATTAATCTGTTCATTACAAAGTTCTGTTTTTTGCTTCCATGAATGATAGCACCATCATGGAAGTTGCAGTGGCTAACTAAAGCTAATTTATGAGGTGTCCGTCTCATGCCTGGTCATGCACCCCAATTTTGACCAGTGCACAAAGAACACCCTGTTAATAAATTTTAATTTGCTTTTATGACGTCCACAGTTGAACTCCTGCAAGCGAGATAAACCAACAGGATTTTGGCCACAGTGTAGTAAACAGCCGTGGTCTTTAGTTAAACCTTCAGAGGCATACTAGCCCGTATTAATGCAGCTCACGTCAAATAGCCTTGTGACAGAATGCGCTTGGAAGCTGAAATGTTCTAATACAGGCTTCTCTATGTTGCTGTTTCTGATGTCATCTTTGTGTTTGTCTACCCTATGCAGACAGAGGGTCCTGGAGATTGTTCCGTCTACCCTACGGGGAATGTTTGTGTGTGTTTGAAGTTCGGGGCAGGCCCATTCAAGCCCTGTTTGGGGACTCGTGGCCCAGCCACATTGCATGCCAGTCCCTACGGGGAATGTTTGTGTGTGTTTGAAGTCTCCTGGGCCCTCCCTGCAGCCAGCTTGGGGTCTGAGCTTCCTGCTCCAAGCCCTGTTTGGAGACTCATGGCCCAGCCACATTGCATTCCAGTCCTTCTCCCACTGACCTCACGCAGGGCCTCCGCATAGGAGCTCATGTCCGTCAAGATCACGAGGACGTGTTTCTCACACTGGTACGCCAGGAATTCTGCCGTGGTGAGGGCCAGGCGGGGCGTGATGATGCGCTCAATCCTGTGGGTGGGAGAAAGGCGTCAGAGGCTTCTGCAGAGGATTCCTTGGGAGAGAGCTTTTTCAGGGAGACCGGGGCACTCTTGCTCCTCACGCAAAGCACCAAAGGACACCGCACCTGGCAACAGGCCTTACACCAGGAGGGGAAATGGTGATTTATTTTTGCAGATTGATGTATAAGCTATACAGCTGGAACAAGATCTTTGAACTAGTTTATAGCAGGAATGGGCAAAAGATCAGTTCTTGCTGGGAAACTACATCTCCCATTAGCCTTGGCCAGCAGAGTTAACTGGAAGGAAGTCACCCTTCAAGGACAGCTGGAGGACTGCCCTCGGCCGATCCCAATTCCTCTGTCATGATACACCTCATTTGTAAAGGGAGGAGACTCGTTCTCAGGAGTCCACTGATCCTTGAGACAGGCAGCCTGGACACAATCTGGGAGGGAAGCCTTGCCTTCCCGCGAGGTTTCTCCTCTCCAGAGCAAGAACAAGACAAGCTTTCCTCCCCCTTTGATATTTTCGCAGTTTGTCAGTGCAGGAAACGACTGCCTTCTCCCTTTGCTGAGCAAAATGCACGTGGTCTTATGCAGTGGGCCCAGGAGTACTGGCCGACAGATCAGCGAGAGGCAAACAACTCATTCCATGCTCCTGATTTTAAAAAGCCCAACAACAGGGCAGACAGTTTGCACAAATGCACAATTTGTCATCTTTTCCTATGGAGAGGTTGCTCCTGTCAAGGCGCCTCACTTGTATTCACAGAAAATATCTTGCTATCTTGGAGATGAATTTATTTATTTATTTATTTATTTATTTATTTATTTATTTATTTATTTATTTATTTATTTATTTATTTATTTATTTATTTAT